CCCCCCAAACCACGTAACCCTAAAAATAAATGTTATTTTTCCTTGCTTTTTTACAACCTACACTCAGGAATTTGCTCTTTTTAAGGGCATCTATTTGAGGCATTTCAAACAAAATCCAGTGGAAAAGTTTACAGATGATTCAGCCTAAGAAAGAGGAAATATCATTGAAAAGGGATTAGGTGCTGGGTAATTTTGATCTTCTAGAATAGACAAATCCCAGTAATGAAAGCTACTGTCTTTGAAAACAAACCTTCGTGTCATGACATTTACTTGTGCACAAACAAACCCTAGGCCAGCATCTGGTGTGGATACCTAAGGCTTTTTCTGTGTTTGATTTGGCAAATATATGACTTCATCCATGCTTTGTATGTATGAGATGGAAATCTATGGTCGCAATGAATATTACATTGGCTACTTTTGCTGCACGCTATACCTAGTTTTATTATGTTGGACTCATTGAAGCAGAAGAAGTGCTGAAACGGGTTCAAGCCTATTAGTTTCAGGTACTCATCTATCTATCTTTTCCTTGAATTCCAGTGACAGCTGCATATATAAAGAAGCTTGTTTTCACTATGAAGACATTGGGTTGTGCAAAAGATATCATTTTTACGTGCAAGTTTGTTTAAATCTGAATTATCCCATATTTGTCATTCGGTCTTTGCATATCTAAGTTTTGCATTCCCTTCAAAAATTATTTGAAGGGCCTCTCTGCTTCTTACCCCACGTCGTTCAGTGCTGAATCTCTCTCAGGAGTCCAGTGGGAAAGCACCACTTAAATTTGCGTCTAGGATGCAGTGGCTAACATATGATCCTAATTTGATTTAAACAAAGGAGATCTAAGGTTGGTATTGAGCCTAAAGCAATGTAAAAAAGGTGCCATAGCTGTATATTAGTAAGCTGGCTCCTGAGGTTACTGACAAGGGGTTTGAAATACCTCGTGATCAGTTAAGGTCAAGGGTAGTGCCATCCAAACCTCATTTGAAAATAATTGGAAATAGCAAGGTAGTCCAAGGATGGACCTCATCAAGGCTAACTGCTTGACTACCTCAGGGACGGCAGGCCTCTGTCCGTGCTCACTGGAGTCCTTCTCACAGTCATCCCCAAAGACATTGCAAAGCGTATCCCTCCCATTCTTTAAAAGAATGTGTGAAATACACAGATAGCATATTAGTGTTTGTTAAATGCTCATGTAATACTTAGGCATGCGACATTATGCTTGGTTGTAAATATCTCATGCCTTCCAAAGGAGGGATTCTGGGAATCTCTTGAAAACACATCCAAGCTCACCATCAAGGGAGGAGTCTTATTTGGAATATACCACAGATGCAGGGGCTGTATCTCCACCAGCAGTTTACTGCTCTGTATAAATAATGGACTCAATCACTCCCTAATGGCCTGATGAGTTATTGTCTTTTCTTGAGCACCTAATTGTACCATCTAGACAGGGCTTCAGCTTCTGAGAGAATACAGAACGTTGCATAATGTTAGTTGTTTAAAACTATTTTTTGTTCCTGCAGAAATTCCTCCCCAGGTGTATCTGTAGAGATGAAAATGGAATTTAAGCACCAACTATTAGCAATTACTACCATGCAAATATTTAGCCTCAAAACCTCCTAGATGTCAAGACGGTTCTTGTAACTGACAACTAACGTGAACTTCCAACAAAGTTTTCCACTTTTTAAGTTGAATCTGATTAAGTGAAAACGTTATTACATGGGTTTTTCCTTATAATATTTCTAATGATTGAATAACCACTTACGTCTCTATTGGCTTGTTTCCTTATGTCGGTGATAGTTGTCAAAAAATACCAGCAAACTTATACATTAATCACTATCTTAAACTGTTAGATGGGAAAACAGTGTGGCCCCAGTTTAACACAGAAATTTTTAGACAGGAAGGAATCACCACATGTTACGAAGACCATGTTTGTGTAAGCTGTTGTGCTGTGTTGCTGACATTAATCTCTAGGACTGGAGCTTTCAAGATGAGACTTGGCAATATGCAAGTTATATTTGTTGAATATTCATTCATAATAGAAAAGCCTCATAATGCCTCATTTATATTGTCATTTAAATCTAGTGCCACTTTAGATTAATTATAATCCAAATTATAGCTCTGTGCAGTACAAGAATTAATATAGAGTTTATCCAGATTAATACATTTGCATTGAAAATGTAATATGTCTCTGCCATGGCTAAGGGGACCACTTTTTAATAAGGGAGTAAACATGAGGAAGGATGGAAATTAACCTTCATTATTGCAATTAAAATTATCCTTTCATTCCGGCCTCATTAGAAAGAATACTGTACCAGTAATTATAATTTAGAATTATTTGTAGTTGAATAACATCCTTTGTTATATTCAAGTTTTATAACAGTCAAACTTTATCAAATACATTGATTGATAGATCATTACTCAGTTTTTTGTTTTATTGGTTTTTTTCCAGATTTGTTTTTGAGTACATATATGCTATTGGATTTTCCTCACTTATTATGAGTATAAACCACTTTACAACCTTCCGCATTTTAGGGATTGAAAATTATTAAGTAGGCAGCATCTGAATCAAAATGAATTATGTCATTTTTATATTAGCCATCTCATGCAAGCTAAATAATCCCATAACTGACAGATAATCATTGGCTCATCTATTTGGCAGTACTTATTTGTAATTAGATTTCATTTTTTAGTTTAAAATGCATTAAAATGGCATTGTTTTTTGAGAATATTGGGATGTCCTTAATAACAGAAAAATGAATTGTGATCTCATTTCAAAATTTTGTCTCGGGTAACAAACAGTGCTTAGTTCAAATAAAGTTGCGGACATAAACTATGAGTAATCACAAAACTTAATCAAAACCCTCCAAAATTGGCAGGCCCTTGTTTAATATATTTCTAGGATAAGACAATTCAGAAAAAGATCCCAGAGTTGATGCCCTACAATTTATCACGGAGGCCATAATACCTGAGATAGCACCCCTTTGAGTAGAAAAGGCATGTGTGCATAAAATGTAACTTCCATCCTCTTTGCAAATAATCTTGATGACCTCCCTTATCCTCAAGAGTCTGTTCTTGTTATGTTATTACATCTCAGTTTTCTCTGCTTCTTCTTATCAATGGCATCTATTTCTGGGGTGCTTGGCTAAATGGGGGGAGGCAGCCTTTATTTATAACTTCTTTTTAATTTAAAATAAGATGGTCTTTAGGAAGTTCCTAGCTTACATTAAGATCATGGTTTAATTAACTAAGTTAATTAGCCAAAAAATATTGAAGCTGACACATATATTGGGTGGAATACTATAGCCAACAGTGACAGCAATGGCTATGAAGTAATGGCCCTAAAATTTAACTCTTTGCTTCCTTGCTACAACACGGTATGTTACTAAATTAAAAACAGTAGAATATACTGTTGATGAATATTAACAGTATAATATGTTGTTGATGAATATTAATAAGGTAAAAATAAGAATATGGATTATTTATACCAAATATTTTCACCAACCTATAGCAAATGTAGTAAATTGTAAAATTTACTTAGTAAAATGTTTCAAACCATGAAAGCAATATTTTTGATCCTTTATAGTACTAACATTAGGATATATAAGCTTATGAAAATAAGGCCATAGCTACAAATTTAATAGATTTAGAAGTTCATGGGAGGTTTATTCTATAGCTGATGTTCCATAGGGCCCGCAAGCAACCAGAGTCATGGAGATTATCTTTTAACTGGCGTGTGACAGTTTTTGATAGCATAGGAAATTGGACCAACTTATTATTTGGTCATGTCTAATTCTACCACGTACACAAAAGAATGATAAGGGAATATGACATAGTATTACTCTTTTTAAGGGAATGTATTCTTACTCATTAATAAGGAACTCTTTAAGAAAACTCTTTCAGTTCCACAGGAGAAAGCAACTGGTAGACATTTGCTGATTTAAATGACAATCATTTTATAGAACTTGATCTGACACCATAGGGAGTAAGTTTTATTTGCAAGATACTATATAGCATAGTGTCTTCCTAATGTTATTTTTCACACTTTTAAAACAATAGCAAAAAGGCTGTTTTGAGGAGGAGAAACATATTTTTTGATGCCAGAATTAATTCTGAGATAAACATTCCTGTTTTTGACCTAACTTTTGGATATCAAGTACTTGGGTATTGTTTAATCAATGGAATGAAATTCTTCAGTCAGTCTCAAATTTAAGTTCATTCGAATACAAATATGATAAATCATTTTTTTCAAATATTTACAAAGAATCTAAATTTCTCCAAGGCATATGTATATACAGGACAAATGAACTAATTCAAATAAAATCTAATGTTTGTAAATCCAGAAATCAATAGCAGTGTAATTTGTTGAAACATAGTGCTAATTCTGTACCTACCACAAACCTCGAGGGAATAAAATTGTCGTCGTTGTGTCATTTAACTTCTATTTTTTTTAATTTTGGTCTCTTCAGAGTCACCTTACTTTTAAATTTCTTTCTGAATGTGAAATTCCTAAAATGTATATGGTAAAAAACACGCATCTCTATTCAGGTTAGAAAAAGAACATATTTTTTGGTTCATTTTTACTTTGTTTCCATAACATCCTTGACCTTATTTTTAAATTAAAACTGGGTTATTTTGCAATAAGGTGCAATTTGTTCATTTATATGAACCGTATGTGGATTGAAAAAAATCAAGATAAATCTTCATGCACAGCATACAATCAGATTACGCCTAGACTCTATATTTACGCGGGGTCTGATAGCAATCAATGGTTTAGCTTCATTGCATTTCAAGATGTATTTGCACCCAGTTGTCCAGTGATAGTGTCCTCACCCTGGAAATAATTTAGTTGCAAATTGACTGGAAGATGGTGAAAATTGAAAGTTAAAATTAGAAATACTCATAATAAACAGCAGAAAAAAGGTCAGATGATGCCGCGCTATGATGAGATTGGAATGGATGGTAAATGAGGTTTTGTGTTTGTCGTGAGATGTATGTGACATGCCTACCCAATGTCGCTGTAATATCCAGCCTCACAGAGGAGATTATCGGGAAAATTGATGCTGGAAAGAATTTTCTGTTAGATTGGGAAATTAGAATTGCACTCTTTTCTTTGATGTGTGTGAAGCCCCTGCACATTACATTGTTCATCTAGGCAAAATTCTAAACCATCTTTAACACCGAATATTCGGATTAACCTCATAAAACAATTGTCTTCTTGAGATCCGGGCCATAATGTTATGTTTACGGCCAACTGCTGAAACATCTGAAGTAAAACGTAAATCGCAAAAAGCAGCGACAGATATGTAATTTTTAAATCCTGTACACACCACGTAATAATATTAGCTTAGTTTCTGAATTATAACTAGTCAGTTCTTCTCAGTATTTTGAAATGTTTTCAGTGTCCAAGGATTTTAGAAAAAAGATAAGTAATTAAATGTTAGTCAAAGGAACTATTTTCCAAGTTAGCATTTGTGAATGGGAGTAGATTAGCTTTAATGTGATAAAGGCATCCTGAGACACCAGAGAGCATGTGTTCTGGATGAATCTTTCAAGGTCACCTAGGGTTATCTAAACATGAGACAGAAGTACATTTTAAAATATATTTATAAAGTCCACTTAGTAGATAAAAAGAAGTGTGCTTTTTGCCTTTTGAGATTACCATCATTTAAAAGTGTTTGTTCAGTCATTTTAAGGATTCAGTGGATTTAGAGTCAGAGCTATTTGAAAAACATGTAATTTTTCAGAATTTGATATTGTTAGTCTTTTAAAATTGAGGTGTTCTATTCTTTTTTTGGGAATCAGGAATAATCACACCAGAAAAGGAGCTAAAAGTCAGTGTGGGAGGGGGGACCCAGCCACTCCTGCTGGCGAAAGAAGAGGATGTTGCGACAAAAAGATCAAAACCTGCAGAGGACAACAAATTCTGTCACGAGCAGGTAGATACGTTTCTTCCCTTTGCTGTGTAAACCTGTTTATTATTATTATTATCGTTGTTACTGTTGTTATTGTTGACTATTATTATTATTATCATTGTTACTGTTATTGTTGTTGTTGTTGTTGCTCCTGATGGTTATCGAGCCCCACACGATTTCATGCTGTTGAAGTGTATGTAGATACTGTGATCAGCAGCATAACGAACTCTTGGTGTTACTTCTAATGTTCTGAAGTCATCTGAGGGCATCAACTAACAGTGGCCATGTTTATTCCATATTCTCCAGTTCTTTCAGTGTCCTTATTGCAACTACAATAGTAGGGACCAAAGTCGTATCCAGATGCATGTCCTGTCACAGCACTCGGTGCAGCCGGTCATCTGCTGTCCGCTCTGTCAGGACGTCCTCAGCAACAAAATGCACCTCCAGCTGCATCTGACGCATTTGCACAGTGTGTCTCCGGATTGTGTGGAGAAGCTGCTTATGACAGTAAGGATACCGCATGTTGATGCACGTGTGACATGTTCTCTGCAAAAGTCTCAGTGCAAAATCTGTAATTGTTGGTTGAGGAATTTATTTTTTCTGCCCACTTAAAGCTCTCTTACAGACTGTGTTATGGAAATCACAACCAAGGCCCATTTGTTCTCTCTTTTGCTTCTGGAGGAAAAAAAAAAAATGATATAAGGCATAGCATATTCAGTAGCAAATTTTTAAAATTTTTAAAAAATGTTTATTTTTGAGAGAGAAAGACCCAGAGCGAGCAAGGGAAGGGGAGAAAGAGAGGGAGACACAGAATCCGAAGCAGGCTCCAGGCTCTGAGCTGTCAGCACGGAGCCCGATGCGGGGCTCGAACTCACAGCCCGTGAGATCATGACCTGAGCCGAAGCTGGACGCTTAACCGACTGAGCCACCCAGGCGCCCCTTCAGTAGTGTATTTTACCGTCTTACTTTTTATCTGTTATGTTAACTAAATGACTCATGTGGGCATGCGGAGTTTCAAAATTTCTTGGTTATCATTTTAAAACAACAGACCTACAAAAACCTTCAAATCGTAGTTTAAAAAATAAAAGAAGAATACAGCATCGCAACACCATTGATCTAAAATTCAAAGCGATAGCCTTGGCCTGTAAGATCCACAAAATGTCCCTGCTTTCGTTTGGAAAAATGTTAAGTGGGTTATGCTCCTGCCAAATGCAGATGTGATGGAGTCTGATTTCTGGGCTACATTTGACATGAACACCTGTGGTTCTCACAGGTGCCTGTGCCTGATGTGATGATGCCGAACAGTTTGCTACTGCCAGCAGCTGCCTCTGAGAAATCGGAGCGGGACACATCTGCAGCCATCACAGCTGAGGCATCTGGGAAATATTCAGGTACGCCAGCCTGGGAGCAAGATCTAGGGGAAAACACGCTCAGGGGCACGCATTTGTGGGGACAATCCAGGATTGTGACTATCAAAGGTTTTTGTTTGTTTGTTTGTTTGTTTTTAAGCAGAGAGGGAAAAAACTGTGGTGTTTCCAAGAGTAACATTTTCCAAGGCATATTTTGGATCTATCTGTTCATCTGTTACTGCCCTCGGGGGACTTAAGTGTCGATGACCAAGAATAGTCTGTGTGTCCTAATTCCTGAACACTGAGGTTATGGCCCTTGATATCATGCTGATTGCAGCATACTGTAATTACCTTTGACTTGCCTTTTTTCCTCTCCTGAAATTCCCTGAGGTCGGGGGTGATTTCTTGTTCATGCCCGGCACCAAGCACAGTGCTTGGCACATAGTAGCTGCTCAGTAAATATTTCTTCAAAGAATCAACTAAGCGGAAATCTTTAGAGGTTCCCACCTAACGATATTTACTGGCATTTAAGCAGTAGGCTTTCTTCCGGTAAGCGACCTATTTGTGCTTTCTTCTACACAGGCGAGAGTCCAGTGGATGACAAAAGTGCGGCAGGTCTTGACGATTCAAAGGCTAGCGTGGAAATAAAGAGTGAGGAGCAGAAACCAACTAAAGAACCCATGGAAGTGTCAGACTGGAATAAAAATAGCAGTAAGGATGTGAAAGTCCCTGACGCTCTCCAAGACCAGCTGAGTGAGCAGCAAAAAAGGCAACCACTCTCAGTGTCAGACCGCCACGTTTATAAGTATCGCTGTAACCACTGCAGTCTGGCTTTCAAGACTATGCAGAAGCTTCAGATACATTCCCAGTATCACGCGATTCGGGCTGCGACGATGTGTAATCTCTGCCAGCGTAGTTTCCGTACATTCCAGGCTTTAAAAAAACACTTGGAAGCAGGCCACCCCGAGCTGAGTGAAGCTGAACTTCAGCAGCTGTATGCCTCCTTGCCCGTGAATGGTGAACTTTGGGCGGAGAGCGAACCTATGGCACAGGACGACCATGCCCTGGAGCAGGAAATGGAGAGAGAGTATGAGGTGGACCACGAAGGGAAGGCAAGTCCCGTAGGAAGCGACAGTAGCTCTATTCCTGATGACATGGGCTCCGAACCAAAGCGGACCTTACCTTTTAGAAAAGGGCCAAATTTTACGATGGAAAAATTCCTGGATCCATCCCGCCCGTATAAATGTACAGTGTGTAAAGAGTCGTTCACCCAAAAGAACATTCTCTTGGTCCATTATAATTCAGTTTCTCATCTGCATAAGTTGAAGAAGGTTTTGCAGGAAGCCTCCAGTCCTGTTCCGCAAGAAACCAACAGCAGCACAGATAACAAACCCTATAAGTGCAGCATCTGCAACGTTGCGTACAGCCAAAGCTCGACACTGGAAATCCATATGAGGTCCGTGCTCCACCAGACGAAGGCGAGGGCTGCCAAGCTGGAGCCGAGCGGCCACGTGGCTGGTGGGCACGGCATGGCGGCCAACAGTAGTCCCGGCCAAGGGATGCTAGATTCCATGAGTTTAGCGACAGTAAGCAGCAAAGATGCCCACTTAGATGCCAAAGAATTAAATAAAAAGCAAACTCCGGAATTGATCTCTGCCCAGCCTACCCATCACCCACTGCAGTCACCAGCACAAATCCAGATGCAGTTACAGCACGAGTTACAACAGCAGGCGGCGTTCTTTCAGCCTCAGTTTCTAAACCCCGCCTTTTTGCCTCATTTCCCTATGACCCCAGAAGCTCTGTTGCAGTTTCAGCAGCCTCAGTTTCTCTTCCCATTCTACATCCCTGGGACGGAGTTCAGCTTGGGGCCAGATCTGGGCTTGCCCGGCTCGGCCACGTTTGGCATGCCCGGCATGACAGGAATGGCTGGATCCTTGCTGGAAGACTTGAAGCAGCAGATTCAAACCCAGCACCACGTTGGCCAAACTCAACTGCAAATACTACAGCAACAAGCACAACAGTACCAGGCCAGCCAGCCCCAGCTGCAGCCCCAGAAGCAGCAGCAGCAGCAGCAGCAGCAGCAGCAGCAGCAGCAGCAGCAACAGCAGCAGCAACAGCAGCAGCAGCAGCAACAGCAGCAGCAGCAGGCAGCAAGCAAATTATTGAAACAAGAGCAGACGAGCGGAGCCAGTTCAGACTGCCCTGTCCTGAAGGACGGGCCGTCTTACAAGGAGGCAGAAGAGAATGCTGAAAAGCAAGAAAAGCCAAAGCAAGAATATTCCAGCGAAGGCGAAGGACTCAAAGAAGGCAAAGACCTCAAGAAGCAAAAATCCTCCGAACCCTGCATCCCGCCGCCCCGAATAGCTTCGGGGGCCAGAGGAAATGCAGCCAAGGCTTTATTGGAAAACTTTGGTTTTGAACTGGTCATCCAGTACAACGAAAACAGGCAGAAGGTACAGAAGAAGGGCAAAAGTGGTGAAGGGGAAAACACTGACAAACTGGAATGCGGGACGTGTGGCAAGTTGTTTTCCAATGTTCTTATTTTGAAGAGTCACCAAGAACATGTCCACGGGCAATTTTTTCCATACGGAGCACTAGAAAAATTTGCTCGTCAGTACAGGGAGGCCTATGACAAGCTGTATCCAATTTCGCCATCTTCGCCAGAAACGCCACCTCCTCCCCCTCCCCCGCCTCCTCTGCCTCCAGCTCCTCCACAGCCTTCTTCCTTGGGTCCCGTGAAACTCCCAAGCACGGTTTCCACTCCTCTGCAAGCACCACCCACTCCCCTCCCACCCCACACCCGCCTTCCCTCCCCCCTCTCTCTCCCTCGATTTCCCCCCTTTCGTTTCCCCAGGTCCAGCTGCCTGTTTCTCTGGACCTTCCACTCTTTCCTTCCATTATGATGCAGCCCGTGCAGCACCCGGCACTCCCTCCCCAGCTCGCCCTGCAGCTGCCCCAGATGGACACTCTGTCTGCCGATCTCACTCAGCTTTGCCAACAGCAGCTCGGAATAGATCCCAACTTCTTAAGGCATTCTCAGTTCAAACGCCCGCGGACAAGAATTACCGACGACCAGCTAAAAATCCTGAGGGCTTACTTCGACATCAACAATTCCCCGAGTGAAGAGCAGATCCAAGAAATGGCGGAGAAATCGGGCCTCTCTCAAAAAGTTATCAAGCACTGGTTTCGAAATACGCTTTTTAAGGAACGGCAGCGAAACAAGGATTCACCCTACAACTTCAGTAACCCTCCCATAACTGTTTTGGAAGATATCCGAATTGATCCACAGCCCTCCTCTTTAGAACATTACAAATCGGATGCGTCGTTCAGCAAAAGGTCTTCTAGAACGAGATTTACCGACTACCAGCTTAGGGTTCTCCAAGACTTCTTTGACACAAACGCTTACCCAAAGGATGATGAAATAGAACAACTCTCCACTGTTCTCAATCTCCCCACCCGGGTGATTGTCGTGTGGTTCCAGAATGCTCGTCAGAAAGCACGCAAGAGTTACGAGAACCAAGCAGAAACGAAAGACAACGAGAAGAGGGAACTCACTAACGAACGGTATATTCGAACAAGCAACATGCAGTACCAGTGTAAAAAGTGCAATGTGGTTTTCCCCCGGATCTTTGACTTGATTACGCATCAGAAGAAGCAGTGTTACAAGGATGAAGATGATGATGCCCAAGATGAGAGCCAAACCGAAGACTCCATGGATGCCACCGATCAAGTGGTGTATAAGCACTGCACAGCGTCTGGTCAGACGGACGCGGCCAAAAACCCCGCTGCCCCTGCAGCGAGCTCTGGCTCCGGGACGAGCACCCCCTTGATCCCGTCACCCAAACCGGACCTGGAGAAGACCTCTCCAAGACCCGAATATCCCACAGAAAAGCCAAAGCAGAGGGACCCCTCTCCCCCTTCTCAAGGCAGCAAGCCAGCCCTGCCATCAGCGTCAACCTCCTCAGACCCACCCCAGACCTCGGCAGCTCCGCCACAGCCACAGCCACCGAAACAACCCCCACTCGTCGGAAGACCTCCGTCAGCCTCGCAGACCCCGGTCCCTTCCAGCCCACTGCAGATTTCCATGACTTCTCTCCAGAACAGTCTACCTCCACAGTTACTACAATACCAATGTGATCAGTGTACGGTTGCCTTCCCCACTCTGGAACTCTGGCAGGAGCACCAGCACATGCACTTCCTTGCTGCTCAAAACCAATTCCTCCACTCACCATTCTTGGAAAGGCCCATGGATATGCCCTACATGATATTCGACCCCAACAACCCGCTGATGACCGGACAGCTGCTGAGTGGTTCTCTGGCACAGATGCCACCTCAGACCGGCTCCTCCCACGCCACAGCGCCCGCGACAGTCGCTGCTTCTCTGAAAAGGAAACTGGATGACAAAGAGGACAATGCTTGCAGTGAAAAGGAGGGAGGAAACAGCGGTGAGGACCAACACCGCGATAAACGCTTGAGAACCACGATCACCCCGGAACAACTGGAAATACTCTATGAGAAGTACTTGCTGGATTCCAACCCTACCAGGAAAATGCTTGATCATATTGCACGAGAAGTGGGGCTGAAGAAACGGGTCGTGCAAGTCTGGTTCCAGAACACCCGAGCTCGAGAAAGGAAAGGCCAGTTCCGGGCAGTGGGCCCAGCACAGTCCCACAAACGGTGTCCTTTCTGTCGAGCCCTGTTCAAGGCAAAGTCAGCCTTAGAAAGCCACATCCGCTCTCGGCACTGGAATGAAGGAAAGCAGGCGGGTTACAGCTTGCCACCAAGCCCTTTGATATCAGCAGAAGATGGGGGAGAGAGCCCTCAGAAATACATTTATTTTGATTATCCGTCTCTGCCGCTAACTAAAATGGATCTATCAAGCGAGAACGAATTGGCTTCCACAGTGTCCACGCCTGTGAGCAAAACCGCAGAGCTGTCGCCGAAGAATCTTCTAAGCCCTTCCTCTTTTAAAGCAGAATGTTCTGAGGATGTAGAGAATTTAAATGCCCCTCCTGCTGAGGCAGGGTATGATCAAAATAAAACTGATTTTGATGAGACTTCATCGATTAATACAGCAATCAGTGACGCCACCACCGGCGACGAGGGCACCGCTGAGATGGAAAGCACCACGGGAAGTTCCGGAGATGTGAAGCCAGCTTTATCTCCTAAAGAGCCCAAAACTCTGGACCCTTTGCCAAAACCCGCGACCACACCCACCACGGAGGTCTGCGATGAAAAATTTCTCTTCTCTCTCACGAGTCCCTCCATCCATTTCAACGATAAGGACGGCGACCACGACCAAAGCTTTTATATCACAGATGACCCCGATGACAATGCCGACCGCAGCGAAACATCCAGCATAGCAGACCCGAGTTCACCGAATCCCTTTGGATCCAGCAATCCTTTTAAATCCAAAAGCAACGATCGACCAGGTCACAAGCGTTTCAGAACCCAAATGAGCAATCTTCAACTCAAGGTTCTCAAGGCTTGCTTCAGTGACTACCGAACTCCCACCATGCAAGAATGTGAGATGTTAGGCAATGAGATTGGCCTGCCCAAACGCGTGGTCCAGGTGTGGTTCCAAAATGCAAGGGCAAAGGAAAAGAAGTTTAAAATTAACATAGGGAAGCCTTTCATGATTAATCAAAGTGGAACAGAAGGCACCAAACCGGAATGTACCCTCTGCGGGGTGAAGTACTCTGCCCGCTTGTCCATCAGAGATCATATTTTCTCCAAACAGCACATTTCAAAAGTGAGGGAGACCGTGGGGAGCCAGCTCGATCGGGAGAAAGATTACTTGGCTCCGACCACCGTTCGACAGCTGATGGCACAGCAAGAACTTGATCGTATCAAGAAAGCTTCAGATGTGCTGGGCTTAGCGGTGCAGCAGCCAGGCATGATGGACAGCGGCTCCCTCCATGGCATCAGTCTGCCGGCGGCCTACCCAGGACTCCCCGGCCTCCCTCCGGTTCTGCTCCCTGGAATGAATGGTCCATCCTCCTTGCCTGGATTTCCACAAAATTCAAACAGTAAGTCCTTTCCAGGAGAGTCAGACTAATTAATAAGTTAATATTAGGCAGCCGGTCACAGGTGACCAAGGACGGGGTACATCTGGGTCTCTTTTCATTTCAGGAAGTGAAACCTTTACATTATTTGAAATATATATTTTACTGGCTATAATTAAGAACCAGGAAGTGAGTCAACCTGAGCGTATACAGAAGAATAAAGACTAGGTGGGTCATAGCAGTGTCTCAGAAATACATTAATTATCTGTATCATTACACCCTTGGGTCTTAGAAGTATTCTTTTTCTATAATCATTTTAATACTGATTTCAAATGGCATTTTAGCACAAACGTGGCATAATATTTGATATACATATTAATAAAGCAAAGCATTAAATAATACATATTTTGGATCTTAATTTATGTTCTTTCCAAGGAAAAGTTTCGTTTGGTTTTTGGGTTTTTTTGTTTTGTTTTTTCTTCTGAAGTACCAGGAAGTTCAAAACTTCAAGGTCCTCTAGACACAGGAATTCACCTACGTTACACCTAACAGATAACAAACTTACCTTCAAAGTTTAATTCCTAAAAATATGACTTCTGTGATAATTTGCAACTTAGCATTGCTATAAGATTTTTATTTTTGTAGCATCAGTCTTTTCTTGTTATTTAAGTAAATTTACAGCCTTAGAAATATATTGATATTAACTCTATGACTTTTTATCCCCACCCCTACCCCAGGTCTATAATTAAGTTATAACTAAACTGTAAAGTCGTTTGAGGCAACCCCAGATGATGAACCCAATTCTGTGTTCATCAAGAGAAATAGAACTTAGGCAGTTTCGATTTTGTGAATAAGGATAGGTATCCAATTATATTGGGTTGAAAAAGCTTGACTGTAGTGCACTAGGCAATCGCACAGCCAAACTCACTGTTTTATATGTTATATAAACATTACATATTATGCAAAACAGAAACAAAAAGGTCCTCTTCTAATTTCTTCCCTAAAGTACGTTTTATTTTTCAAATTCACAGTGATGTTTTTCATACAAAACAAAGAAAAAACAGCGATGTCTTCCTTTTTTACAAGGACATTTTGACATTATCTAGAATGAGCTCATTGCAAATCCAGAAAGTTTCTAAAACACACTGAACTGTTTTCATTTTCACAAATTGGACTTTTACATAAATTTCAAACTTTTCGATTTCATCTTTCTCTTATAAAAACCAAAATTGCCATGTGATTGTGGGAAGATACTCCTATTTTAACTTTCAGCTTGGGAGACATGAAAACAATGATATCGAATGGCCCCTTGCCCAACTGCTGTCTCCTCTGGGTCCCCCGTCCCGAATGACTAATTGGCATTGGAGAGAAGCAGAATCAATCTACACATATGGGAATGTGCTCAAGAACGATTCTGCAGTGGCCCTCCCTGTAACTCTCCATAACTATCATACCAACTACTTTGCCTCTAAGTAGTATTTTGGGCTTAATTATCTGGTGGTTATTCTTGGGGCCTTAAAATGTGAGAGCTATAATTGCATGTTTTGTTTGTACATTTAAATTAAGTCAAATATAATTGGGTTTTTTTTTTAATGTTTTATTTATTTTTGAGAGAGGGAGAGAGTGCAAGCAGGGGAGGGGCAGAGAGAGAAGGGGACAGAGGATCCAAAGCAGGCTCCTTGTTGCCTGCAGTGAGCCCAATGTGGGGCTCAATCTCACGAACTGGGAGATCATGACCTGAGCTCAAGTCAGACACTCAACTGACTGAGCCACCGGGGCGCCCACAGAAGTAATTGTTTTAAGAATAATGCAGTGCTTGATTTTTTTTTTTTTTGCATATGAATATGTTAGTCTTCCAGTCCTGTGTCACGTATCACTGTGATTATTGACACATAGAAAAAGGTCTTATGTGGAAAAACGCGTAGGATCAGTTATGTAAAATAGAGATTTTTCCACATAATGTCTGATGTGGAAAAGCTCCTATGGGCAGTTATGTAAAATTTACAGTTATGTAAAATAGTAAATGAAGTATTATGAAAAATAGAGTATAATTTGATATTTTCCACGCACTAGGAACAGTTTAAGTGTCCGTGTTCATCTACAAGTCTGTTTGGATGGCTGCTGAGTGTGTAGTTACCCCCTATACGGCAGCCAAAGCATCTTGTTTTCTCTCCGCTGGATCACAGGCCTTGCTTGTAGAGCGGGTGCTTCCCTGACCACCCTTCTGATTTGTCACTCTGAAACCGGTACCCAGAGGGCCTATATGAGAGAAGGTGAGAAGGGAGGAGAGAAATGTTTATGAAATACTTAAATAGCCTACCCTTTCTCCTCATTCAACTCACCATAAATATAATTTACATCCTCCCCCCTGGAAAGGTGGGCTCTGTGTGTAAGTATCAGAGGTGCAGAAGGATGTTGGAGGCATCTCTTCCGTGAGCAGTATAAACGCATGGGGAACTGAGGAATCCGGTGCTATGAACTTGTTGCCTTATTCAATCGTGGGCCAAAACAGACCAGAGAGTGTTACAAAGAGAAAAGGTCCGTGAATATACTTGCTAGAATTTGCAACTTCTCTTGCATTTGTTCTTGTTTGCTATGGATTTTAAACATTAACACAGCAGAGGTACCAGCAGGACCCTGTCTGAGAACCTCAGTTCCCCCACTTACAGTTCACATCAGTTTTAGGCTAATTTACCTGCGGTGGGTAATGCTGAATCTTTTAATTATCTCATAGGGTGGAGCTGGGGTTCTCCATCTTTCTATCATCATCTTTCTACTGTGTTATTTCTCATCAAACAAAAATCTCCCTCGCTTTATGGGAGAAGTAGACATACCAGCTAAGTGGAATCAAAAGGAGAAAATGACTTCTTGTGTTTCTCACATGCCCTGGGCTCTTGCAACCAGCTTGAAATATATATATGAGCAAACTTTGAGCTTATGACATGTTCATCTTGGGCCTACATTAATGGGATTTCATTATAGAAAAAGCTTCATTTTAAGATACCCCATCCCTTTGAAGGCAAACCTGAGGGTTTTAATCCTGAAGAAATCACTAAAAAGGAACTCCACAGAATATGAGATGTGCCATAAAGTAATGTCTGATTCCAAAGGCTACACCCCAAAATTGATTTAAGTTGCAATGCACACGTTCAGTTTTAGTGTTTATTAACCTCGTTTCATCACCCATTTTATTCTATTTTGGGCAGAATGGCCCTTCTAGCTTACCAGCTTTAATGCTTACCTTGCTTCCAACAAATCTTCAAATTATTTAGTCTTTCAAGATCGTAAGAAGGCTCTTTCAGGAATAATATACATCATGCGTGCCTGTTTCCTGAATGATTTCCTGAATGATATTCCGACCCTCTCTTCAGTATTACTAATCACTATTACTCATTTGCTAATAAAATGAATTATTTTCTGCTTAAAAAAATTCCACATTTGCCTTTTTCTATCATGACCATATGCAAAAAGAGCAAGTGGCAATAGAAAAGCACATGCCTGTATACCTGGAAAAAATTAGAAAAAATTAGAAAACTAGAAAAAAATAGAAAAATTTACATTTTGTCCTTTAGGATGTTGGCTTCCTTTGGCATTTTGCTCAAGATGATTAGAAAAATAACTTGATTTTCTATTTTTAACTTATTTACTTTGTCATTTTCAGCAGCATCTAATTTTTATATCTTCCATTAGTGTTTGGAAATACTGTCTAACTCAATTTCCTTAAATGGAACTTTAGAACATGCCTTTTGCATTTTTCTCATACTTCAATATAATTTACCAGCACATTTGGGGTAAATCTAGATAAGAGTAATTTTAGCACAATTATCTTTGGCCCCATATACATAATAAGTTTTATTTTCACCTCAAAAAGAAATTTTCCCTCTGGGAGACCTAGATCAAGGAAACCTGGGAAAATAACTATATCTAAGTTCATTGTGAGGCAAGTATTTTCTTCCAAAAGCAGAACTTTCAGGAAGAGGCAGCTGTTTCAGGAGAATCAAACCAAACAAACTAATGATAATAGGAGATTATCTGCAGAAAAATGTTTATGTCTCAGCGAAATTTCAAAGAACTGGAGTAGGAGTTAGGGAACAGGAACAAAACATCTTTAGCACTATAACTTGGTAACAGACTTAAAATTAGACATGCATTTAGTTTATAGTTACTACCACTTATTCTGTATCAGTTTTTCTCTTCTGTTTCCGATGTTCATGCATCAGTTGGCTACGGCCTGTTTTATGAGCTTATATTTTTGCTGTAGGCCCAATGTTCATTGTTCATTACCCTTCATTTGCATCTCTTCTAAAATTTTTACTTAATAGCCGATTATTTAACTCAGATTACTCCTCAAGATGTTGAATTCCTGAAAACCCCTGCTGGTCTTTGACTATAGGAGTTAGGATTGCTATTACGGTCTTCTAAAAATTTTCATGGCATTTCATTATATGATCTTCCGATAGGAATGTGTAGACCCCATCTGATGGGAAAGGCTGGGTCCAAAAGTATTGATCCATTTTGTTTTCTAACTACCACTGCTGTTTTAAGTCTTTTAGTTCCTTAAAATTTCTCATCTTAAATTTTATCATGTCAGACAGGCAAGCCAGCAATTTTCTTAGAGGTAGGGGGCAAAAGCAGTTAGGTGGAGAGAGGTGTAATTGAGTATGAAGTCTAGTTGAACTAGACCTAAAACTAAGGCTGGCTTCATGAGTAGGCAAAAGAAGCCGAGTACCAACCAACACGGTATCACTCTAGCAATGCAAGGAAGGTTCTTCTGTTCTTAATAAAGCTCCTTCCACCTGAATCACTCAGGCCTGAAATTCTATAATTAGATATTAATTCCTTTGACTTAATGAATTATCTTCTGTTAAATAGAAAATAGCATTGAATATCATGAAATCAGAATACTATAGATGGCAGAGAGAAACCCCAAATTACTTAATCTAGTGTATAATAAGCCTTTTCAGAAATAGGTATATTCAAATCCTTGGTTCTTTTCTTGCAAATCAAATTTTATAGAGAGGCAAGTGGAAAGAAGCAAGGCCTAGTAGTGTAGGAATGAAGACAAGGGACTTGAGGGTTTAGGTGGCCCCCAAACAACTCCATTACTTGACAGTGTTCTTAGGGCTGGTCTATGTCCCACGAATCTAAGAAGCCTATCACACCAAACTGGATTAAAGATTCAAGAATTCATTCATTCATTCCTACCATTCCTCTACAAATCTTAAACCATTTTCATTTAAATGTGTTTCCAATGTGACAACCATTCTTCTGTAAAATGTAAATACTTGCTATCAGTTTCTCCTGGAATACAATGTTATTTTCAAGGAGTTCTTTCTTTCCTTCTTTCTTTCTTTCTTTCTTTCTTTCTTTCTTTCTTTCTTTCTTTCTCATTTTAAGTATTTGTATTTTTTAACTTTTGAAATTAATTCAATTAGACAGGAACTTTGAGTGGCAGCTATAAAATTTAGTTTCCCCAAACCACATCTCCCATTGAGTCATAGATTTCTCTCTGTCAAGTCACCTAACAGCTTTCAGATTCAATTTTCTTACTTAAAAAAAAAAAAAAAAAATGGAATTTTTAGCATCTGTCCCCACTTACCATTGAGGATATCGGGAAACTGTTCTCTGACATGATGGAAATTCCTTAGAGATTATCACTGATGCAACTACAGAAATTATTCCAAAGCAAGTCAGAGAAGAGTTGGGTGTGGTAAGGTTACAAAGAAGAGCAGCCAGTAAGAAGCTAGGCTAATTGACAGTAATATGATAATGATTAGGGTCAAGTTGAGAGTGATGTTGAGGACTTCGGCATATCTTGAACGTTAAGCCTAAGAAAGCTTTCTCAGCTGGGCGAAGAAGTCTAATTGAAGTTTTTTTTTCCTAGCGAAAGAAATAGAAGCATGCAGTTTTTGTATCACTTGTTTTCCTTTCTTTCTTCCTTTGTTTCCCCTTCCTTCCTCCCGTCCTCCCTCCCTTCCTTTCCTTCCTCTTTTCTTTTCCTTTTTCTTTTTTTCTCTTCTCTTTTCTTTTTTTTCTTTTCTTTTCTCTTCTTTCTCCCAAATGTTGAATTTAGCATAGAGGCAAGACTGAACAATATTAAAAAGGTGGTTGTCTTAAATCTACGATCATTTTCTCCACAGTTGTACGCTAATAATTTAAACTTGACTCACCTTCTCCTGGTTAGTTCTTCCATCAACCCGTTAGGCCTCCATCACAGCCCTTGTTCTGATTGCTTGATAGTGAGTGTTACCTCCTTCGAGAACAAACCACCACCCATTAGGCTCCTAGTCTGTTCCTGTTGCAGTCAACTTTATTTGCCTCTGGAAAAATGTATTCAGGAAAGGCACAGACTTTTACAATTACCTTTTCTCTCCTGAGCTGTGGTTTAGTTTCTCACCCAACTATCCAGCTCATAAAAACGGCTCTGTAATAGGTTATTACCATCCACTACATTCGGCGGAGTACTTGAAGCCCAGCGGAGGTCTTTTCCACTACCACGGGAGCCATAGTCTAACCCACACGTGTCTGCCTACCGAGCACTTAGTTCCCCTTCTCTGAAGGGGTTCGAGTCGTTTTGGCACACGAGAAGCAAACCGGGAAGAAGAAGGTCTTGGGGGTGATAAAGTTGAGTGTTCATATATTCAATTCCCCTCAAGTACTCTGTTAGCCACATCGTCAGAGTGGCGATACATAACTTGATCTGAACCCTTAAAAATGAAATCGTGCCTCCCCGTGCTCAGGCCTAGTAATGAATAGCTGTGACTTCACTGCTATTTGTTTTTTGGAGCCTTCAGCGGGTCATTTACTATTGCTATCTAATTAGCTTATCACCTTCTTTATTTAATGTAAATGTATTTTTCTACTGGAAGTTAAGCAGATGGATTTCCTTTTATTTGAGAGCCAATTACTTTTAGTGAGGGTGGTAATTATCAAGTGAAGGACGAGCGAGTCGGCCTTCCCAGAGGTGGAGTAAAAATTGGTGAAAGTGAGTAACCGAGTGGGGACCTTGCAAAGCGTATCCATTAGGAGTCAGCACAGTTGTTGACCAGCATGTTGTTTTTCTAAGCATCTGCCTTTCATAACACGAGGGCGTTTGTCTGGGG